GGGGGGGGGGGCTCTTTTACCTGGTAAGGAGTTGCCAACAAGCTCCAGGTACTGATCCACGGAGGTGAGGATTTTGTAGCCTGCACTGTTGATGACAGCTCGGGGTGGGACCTGCCGCTCGTAGGCCTGAGGAAGGGACAAGAGAGATGGTCCAAGCCTAAGCCCCATCTCCAACTCTGGCTCCAGGGCCCTCTCAGTGTGGCCTGCCTGAGGCAGGGAGGAGGAAGGGAAGGGAGGGGGAGGAGGGAGAGAGGGAGGCAGAGGAGGAGCCCACCCGCTGCGGTGATTAGAGACCACCTGGTATAGTGACCGGAGTCCAGGCTCTGGGCTCAAATCCCAGCTCCACTGAACACCGTCTGTGTGATGCGGACATTAAGCTCCTTCAGCTCCTATGCTTTAGTTTCCTCATCTGTTAAACCAGGGCAACAACAGCTCCTACTCCACGGGGCTGTGTGGGACTGCGTGAGACGATCCACACAATATGATTAGCTGGGGGCCTCACAGCCAGACGCAGGAAGCCTTACCTATTAGCAGCAGCTACCACGAGCTGAGTGTGAGCGTTTATTACACACCAGGCACCGTGCTAAGGGCACTGCATTGCTTCCTTTCACAAAATCCTCACAATCCAAGAGGTGAGTACCATCGTTAGCCACGAGCTCACACAGGCCATACGCAGCCAACCTAGGACATAACCCTGGTCTGTGCGCCTCCTGGGTCCAGAGTCTTTGACCATGACCCTGCACTGTCCAGCAAATTCCTAGGTTCTGAGCTCCACACAAGTCCCCTGTGGAGGAGAATTAGGTCTGGACACTGCGTTCTTACACCCAAGTGGCTAAAAAGTGGCTCTAACGTAGTAGCTCATACAGCAGGGCTGCCGTGCTGCCGCCGGCCACTAGGTGTCACCACCCAACACGCTGCTCCAGGATGGCTCAGGACCTCCAGGGCACTGCTTTGCCTAGTGTGGTCCTAGGTCATCAGCACCATCAGCCCCACCTGAGAATTTGTTAGAAATGCAAACTATCGGCCCTGCTCAGACCCAGATCAAACTGGGTAGGCCCAGTAACCTGGGTCATATGCCCACCAGGTGGTTCTGATGCCTGTTACCAGTTTGAGAAGCCCTGCCAGGGGCCATCAGGCTGCTCCCACCCTGTTTACATTTCTTTAACCGTGATTTTCCTTGAACAGAGGGCACTCAGGCCTGCCCTTTGCTACTTTGGAGAAATGTATGGTAGAAGAAATTGGGTCTGTGGCTCAACCACGGGGGGCTTCCCCAAGGGCCCAGGGCAAAGATAAGGAACAATGGGCAGGACACTTACCCACTAGGCAGCAGGGGTTGCCAGAGGGGCAGAGGAATCAGGAAGGAAAAAGATGGGACCGCCACCCTGGGGTAAGTGGAGGAAGAGAATGGCCAGACTCCTGTGTCAGCAGTTGGTTGTGACCGTTGAAGAGCAAGGATGGGAGCGGTTGGAGAGCTGCAGGAAGCCCAGCCAGCAAGGAGGCTGGGGGGTGAGGGAGCAGGGGCTCTGGCCCTGGGACTGGACGATTTGAGGTGGGTAGGGGCTAGTGGCGAGTGGCTTACAGGGGGGAGGCAAAGTGAAAGGGGAGCCCCAGAGCAGGGCTGTTTATAGGAAGCCAGCGGAACAAGCAGGTTGGGGGTGGGGGCTGCAGAGAAGGAGCAGAGCAGAGGTGTGTGGGGGGGGGCCTCACCACTTTGTTCTCGTAGAGCACCAGCCCATAGTTGTGAGGCACGAGACTGAAGCGGTTCCTCCATTTCTTGTTGTCCTCCTGGTACTGAAAGAGGTTCCCAGAGAAGATGATGCGCTCATCCAATGGCACCTGCGGGTGGGGTGGAGTGGGGAGTGAGGCCGGGCTCCCCCACAGCCCAGCCGGGCAATGGGGTCCCCCAAGAAGGGGGGGCTGAGCACATCCCCCATCCCGATCTCCCCGAGTCCTCCTCTGAGGCAGGGCTGCATCTTAGCCATGTGACAGATGAGGAGAGTGAGGCTCAGGGCAAAGGAGCTTCCCCAAGGTCCAGCCAGAGCCACAGCGATGCCAGGACTTGAGCCCAGGCCAGGCACCAGCATTCAGGGCCCAGCCAGGACCAAGGTCTCCCACTCTGTCCTGGCCCTAGACAGGCACGACTACCTTGCGACGCGTCTCTGCAGCCCACGGCAGGCTGCTTTCCCATCCACCCACCACTGCAGCGCAGCTACACCAGCAGGACGGGAAATGTCCATAGGCCAGTACGGGGAAGGCCCCGGCACCTGGGAAAGTCTCTTTCCTGCTCTCGGCCTGTTTCCCCTGAGGGTAACAAAAACTTGGCCAAGGTGGCTGCAGAGAACCTCCCTGGCTCTGACAGCTAATAAGATGAACTCCATGAACTTGGGTGGGGTTGGAGGGGACCTCAGTTTGGAGGGTTCAGTGTTGGACCAGCATCCTGGCAGACAGATGACCAATGCGGGCAGCAGAAACACCCAGACCTTCCTCGCAAAGCCTTAGCTTTGACTCCACCTGACTCAGTGTGACTTCGGGCCTGTCACATCACCTGTCTGTGCCTCAGTGTCCTCATCTGTAACATGAGGATGGGGACAGCAATGACTTCAGCCAGGCATCTTGAGGATTCCATAAGACACCGCGTGCCAGGATCACGCACACCTGACAGTCTGCTCAGCTCAGGATATGCAGGAGCCTCCGTGACCGCCGCTGGGATTCCTCGGGCTGTGTCAGTCTCCCAGCTCCCCAGGCTGACTTATTTGGGGAGAAGGGATGGCCATGCCTGAGAGCATGTTTCCTGAACAAACCCACACAGGGAAGTTTCAGGAAAGGGAGATACAGAGGCGACAGGGGGCAGGCTTACTCCTGGATGAGTGGAGTTTCAATAGCTTCTATCTGTTCTGCAATAAATATGGAGCCTTTTGCAAAAATAAACACATATCCTATGTAGTAACAGGAGAAAGTATTATCATTAGCAGTGCCTAACCCTTCCCAGCTTCCCTGCTCAGCTTCTGGGTCTGCCCCTGCAGCTGGCGTCAGGTGGGAGCCTTAGGTCCCAAGCTGCCCACCCCCAAGGCCCTGTGTCTTCACAGGGGCCCCCTCTCCCCAGCAACCTCCCTGCTACTCTTCAAGGGGAAATGCCAAAACACTCTTGGAAAACGAGGGCCCATTGTACTCAAACAATAGGACCCCACGACTGCTTCCTACCCAGGGATAAAAATATTTACAGGAAAAGAAAATGGTCCCCCCGCCACCCCCCACCCCACCGCATACAAGTGGGCTTTGCCCGAGTCACAGAGCTATGCTCAGTGGGCTATATTTAGACAGAGGCCTCCTCTCAAACGCAGCTCTCAAATCCCCATCTTTTCTAGAGAGAAAGAGCAGATAGCTCTCCTGACACCCTGGTAAGACCCTCACTCTCCCCAGGCCCCCCGGTTTGGTCCTCCTCCTAGCTCAGGGCAGGAGCCCCGCATCAGGGGCATCAGGAGCCCTGGGCAGGCCTTCCCAGAACCCCCCCCCAGCCCCCTCGGGAGTCCACCCCCAGATCCTGGGGCAGCCCGTAATGGGCGGTTGCATGCGGGTTTGGATTTTATTTTTAAGACTTTCAAATGGCAGAGTCATGTTTCCACTGGAAGGCCTGCAGGAAATGAAACGGAACCTGCCAGACCAGGCAAAATATTTTGGACTCTGCAAAGCTCTCCAATGCTGCGCTGGGAACCTTCGCTGGGTGGCGAATGGTTAGAGCACAGTGCCCAGTTCCGACGGCCCCGATCCCTGCCCCAGCCCCACCGCCCATGCGGCGGGAGCCTGGACAAGCAGCTCCACCTCTCTGAGCCTCAGTGTCCACAGTGCAGGTGTGGACATAAGTCTAACCCCTTCAAGCGATGTCGAGCCAGCTGGATGAGCAGCGCCCACATAGCATAACTACTATTTTTAACACGATTTCTGTTTTTTTACTCTTACTACTGCTACTTTATTATTTCTAATAAAAACAATTGGTATTATGACAATTAACATTGTTATTTCTATTATGATATCATCCTGATTTATCACAATGGTCAGTTTCCTGAGTGGCAAAATGGGACCAAAAATCCCTGCTTTTCAGGGATTGGGGGTGATTTCCTTTTACTCCTCTTACTGACTTGTCACTGCAGTGTTCCTACAATGGGTATTAAAGCATTACTACAGATGTCCCTCCCGCCGTGACTCTCGAGCCTCGTGCCGTCAGAAACCACCACTCTGTCTTGGGTCACTGGGACCCGGGCCGCCTGTGACACCACACACATGGGCACGTGCCAGACACCCAGTCCAGGCCACACCTCCGGGTACCACCTCGGCCCTCTGTTGTCACAGGGTGGGGAGGGGGCCACGACACCAAGGGACCAGACACAAAGGGTCACGGGATGCTCCGAGGCTCTGCACAGAGCCCTGGCCTGCCCTCCACCCCAGCCAGGAATCTGGAACCTGGCTCGCATCCTGCCTCCACCATCCTGGGCGAGCCACTGAAAGGCCCAGCTGTACACACTGCTCCCTCACTCGGATGTTCTCCCCTCCCGGCAGGTCCTCAGCGGAGATGGCCCCTCTTCCAAGAAGCCCTAGTGGGCCACCCAGACGAGGCCAGACACCCCACCCAGGCTGAGTTCACTCTGTCATCTCCTTCGTGGCACCCAGATTGTCGTGTATTACGGTCTGTCTCCCGAGTGTCTGTGGGACCAGCGTGGCCCCGCACCTGCCCTAGCTCAGTGTGTGGCCCTGACCATGGGTCCACTTGTCTCTTTTCAGGTGATGCCTCCAGCTGTCCTTCCCACTGAGAAGACACAAACGGTAACACGTCCGGAAAGCCAGCTCCAGCCCCTTTGGTCTCATGGTAGGTGGACACATCTTCCACCACTTGGGTTTGGGAGAGGGTGGGGACAAGAAGGAAACCACCCCAACCCTCCCAAGTCTGGAGCCTTTTGAGGCTCTTCTTTCTGCTCTGCCACCTCAGTGAGCCCCATACTGGTCCCTTGCTGCATGATCCGAATCCCATCCGGCCTCAGAGGCCCCAGGACATCCCCACTCCCTCCCCAGGCTACTCTCAGGCCTCTGGCCCATGATGGCGGTTCTGGGTATCAGTTCACAGGCAGAGAAACTGAGGCTCGGGAAGGTGAGGCCATGGGCTGGAGGTTACCCGGCAAGTCAGGACTTGCATCCCTTAGTAACCACCCCACCTGCTCCCCTCATTCTCCACAGCCCTCCACAGGAGGTACCCACCTGTCAGGTCAGGAGACCGACCCGAGGGTTGACTCAACTGCCCAAGCCAGCAGCTACCAAGAAGCTCTGGGCCCGGTCCCCTGAGTTCTCTCCCCCCATACCACAGCATTCCAGCCTCCATCCTTCCCCTACAGTCCTGTCCCGGGCCCCCGAAGCCTGAGAACAGGCTGACCCCGGCGGCCGGGAGGAAGCCGACAGGCCTGGGTGGGGAGGTGCGGCCAGGTGACCAAGGGCAGCTTTGGAGCCCACCAAGCACGGAATTCAGCCACAAAGGACCCGAGTGGCGGCACTGGGGTGGCCTGGCTGACCTGGTTTGGAGCCCACTCCCAGAGGGATCAGCTCAGCCAGTCCAATTCCCCAGAGGGAAGCTGGCGGGCACTCTGCCCCGGGGCCACCAGCCAGGACCAAGTAGCCTCCCGCCTGCTGCTGGGCCACTCGGGGCAGGCCACCTGCAGAAGAGGTGGGGCTGACACCCTTCCTCCTTGTCACCCTTCCCTCTGCCACCCCTGGGCTGTCCAGGCGGTAGAAGGTGAAGGTCACTAAACGGGGGAATGCCCTGGATTTTCCCTGGGCTGACTCAGGGCCCCCTGTACCTCCCCCCAAAGAAGGGCTAGCTCCTCACCCCACAGGCTCAGGCCTGGGGTTGCCAGCTCCCAGCTGGGCACTCACAGCCCAGCCTGTGTTCCAACTGTCCCTCACCTCCTCTCCGCCAGTCCCGCCTCCGGCCCCACTCGGGGGCCAGTCACCGCAGGGCCCTTCCCAGGAGGCCTTGTGTGCCTCCTTCAGTCCGTGCTGACCCATGGGCTAGAGTCACACAGCTTCCAGTCCCTCCACAAATATTTACTGGGCAAACACAATCCTGCTAATAACAGGCTAATGACAAGCCTGGAGATGCTGACGCTATCAGCCAGCACTCACCAAGCACCTTCCCTGCTCCAGGCGCCCGGCTGGCTGATTCCTTCATCAAGAACACCCTGCGCAGGTGTTCTTACCCCATTTCACAGATGAGTAAACTAAGATCCACAAGGTGACGTGATTTGCTCATGGGTACGAGGCCTTTAAGAGGAGCGGCGCCTGGATGACTCAGTCGGTGAAGCGTCCAACTCTAGATTTTGGCTCAGGTCATGATCTTAGGGTCCTGGTATTGAGCCCCACATCGGGCTCCGTGGTCTGCTTGAGGATTCTCCGTCTCCCTCTGCCCCTCCTCCCGCTCTCATGGGCACACATGCGTGCACACTCTCTCTCTCAAATATATTGTTATTTTTTTTAAAGATTTTATTTATTTATTTGACAGAGACACAGCGAGAGAGGGAACACAAGCAGGGGAGTGTGGGAGAGGGAGAAGCAGGCCTCCGGCGGAGCAGGGAGCCCGATGCGGGGCTCGATCCCAGGACCCTGGGATCATGACCTGAGCCGAAGGCAGACGCTCAACGAATGAGCCACCCAGGTGCCCCTGAAATAAATAAATCTTTAAAAAAAAAAAAAAAAAGAGCAGCTGGGCTTGAACCCAGGCATGTCAAGATGATTCCAGAGCCCCAGCTCTACCAATGGAGGAGTTGAGCTGGCAGGGAGTACCCCGTACCCCATGGTGAATGGAGGGGTCTTGGCAAGGCCACTGGGTTATCTGCCGATTCAGAAGCTGGGTAGGGGGCGCCTGGGTGGCTCAGTCGGTTAAGCGTCTGCCTTCGCCTCAGGTCCTGATTCTGGGGTCCTGGGATCGAGCCCCCTGTCGGGCTCCCTGCTCAGCGGGGAGTCTGCTTCTCCCTCTTGCTCAGCCCTCCTCCTGCCCCCACCCCTGCTCGTTCGCTCGCTCTTGTGCTCTCTAATAAATAAAATCTTTTTTTTTATAAAGATTTTTATTTGACAGAGAGAGGCACAGCGAGAGAGGGAACACAAGCAGGGGGAGTGAGAGAGGGAGAAGCAGGCTTCCCGCCGAGCAGGGAGCCCAATGTGGGGCTCGATCCCAGGACCCTGCGATCATGACCTGAGCTGAAGGCAGACGCTTAACGACTGAGCCACCCAGGCGCCCCATAAATAAAATCTTAAAAAAAGAAAAAAGACGCTGGGTGGGCCCCTAGAGACCATCCAGGCAACAATGGTAAATTGAGGCCGTGCGGGAGCCCGCCCTGCACCCGGCCCAGCCCCTCTCACCTTGCGCCAGAGCAGCTGGGCCTGCGGCAGCCCCGTGCCCTCAATCTCGTGGCGCATGCTGTTGAAGAGAACCACGCCATACTGGTCCTCATAAAAACGGCCGAACTCCGTCAGGATCTTCCCAGTTTTCTCTGAAAGGGAAGAAGAAACAGGGCTGTGAGGTCGCCATGGTTCCCTGCGAGCAGCCGCCCTGCCCCAGGGGCATCATCCAAGCTCCGTAATTCCTGTTTGCGAAGCTGTGGGCTCCGGTGCTCTGCCTTCACCGGCCTCGCGTTCCTGGCCAGAGTGGTGCATTCCCTGCACACAGTGGGTGGACTTTCGCACAGGAAAACCAGCAACGATGGAGACAGAGGAAATCACCAGAAAGAAAACACGAGACACCAACAGACAAGTGAAAAGACGCCGAGCCTCCCAGCCACCCAGCAGCTGCAGGCAGACCAGGGTGTGGGGGAACAGACCCCTCAACTCGGAGCCCTGGGTGCTGGAAGTCGGGAAGGCCTTGAGGGCGTACAATTTTAAGGGTTCACGTAGGGCCCCGGATGCCGCGCTCACTCCTCCAGGAATTACCCACCGCACGCCTCCCGGAGGAGCAGGTGTATGTATTCACCCAGCCAATCAGCAGACACGAGCCATGCGCATGCGTGGATGCTGATTCAGACCATCCCAGGCGCACCTGGGCCGAGGGTGGGGGCACCTACAGGTACCACCAGGGGGAAGGTGCCCACACGGCCAGGTGAAGAAAAGCGAGTTACAGAACCGCGTGCGGAATATTACCTCATTTAAAATCACTCCTATTTGTGCCTATAAATTATTTACGCTTGGAGACGGAGGAAAAGGTCCCGGAAGGCAGCACTCCCCAACTGTTCTGGGTGGGACCCCTGGATGTGGGAATGGCAGGGCCGAGTGAATTGCATTTTCTGCTTTATTCACTTTCACAGCATTTGAATTATTTTACAACCGTGATTCCTTCCACAATAAAAAAATAAATAAACATTCTAAAATTAACTCCTCTACCAAGTTAACCACCTTTTTGCCTCCACTGGCCATTTGCTTCTCTGTTGCCAAAGCAGTTTCTGAGCAGAGAAGGTGATTCTTGTGGCCTCCAGGGCTCGCCCAGCACACATCAGACGCTCAGGACCAGCACTGCCGGGGCTTCCCTAATAACAGATGAAACTGAGGCCCGTGACAAGGAGGCCCTGTCCTTGGGAGAGATTTCCCGATCCCAAGAAGCTGTCGCTCGAGTCCTGACTTTGGGGTGGTGCCAGCTCACTCCGAGGCTCCCCTCTCTGGGCCTCGGTTCCCTGCCCACTAAGACTAGAGTCCATGGTGGACAGGCCCTGCCACCTCTGCCAGTCTTGGACTCCAGGTTTGAAGACCTGGCCCTTTCTCAAAGAAGGGGCTGATGAGACACCGTCCCTCCTACGGCTGGTCTCTGCTTCTCAAGAGCACCCAGCTAGGACAGCATTTCATTTAATCCTCTCACGAGCCCTGTGACGTAGGGCTGGTGTTATTCCCATTTTGGAGAAGACCCAGAAGCGCTGAGACCCAGAGAGGTTAAGTCACTGGCTCAAAGTCACATAGCCAGTGGGTGGTGGAGCTGGGATGCAGTCCAGGGGCCCCACTGTGAGGTGGTGGCCAGGGAGGAGGGCTGAAAGTATGTGGCCACATCCCCACCCAGGGTCTCAGGCAAGCTCACTCCCTCTACTCCCTCTGGAAGAGCTCGGCCCAAGGACCCCTCTCCACAGACCCTGCCTGTGGTCCCCTTTCCTGGAATGAGGTCATGGCTGTCCAGATTCCAATCTGGGGAGAGGAGGGGGAGAACAAATGAGGAATTTGCTTTGAATGCCTATTTTTTAAAAACCATAAACAACCAGAACTCTCTCAAAGACCACGGGAATTGTTTTGAAAAATGATGAGGCAGAACTGGGAGGGTTGGGGGGAGCAGGCAAGAAGGGGTAATGAACTGGAGCCAAAGAGAAAAAATGGGATCATAGGTGACAATAATACTGACAAGTCACATCATCATCACCATCATCGTAGCTACTACCACTTAGCATTAACCTGAGCCAGTGGGCGGGCAAGTTCTGCATGCAGGATCCCAAAGAATCTTCATGAAATCCTTAGGGAGTCAGTGCTATTGTCTTCCCATTTTAGGGACGAGGTGGCTTGCAGACCCAGGACTGGAGAGACAGGGTCTCAGCCACCAGGCCAGGCAGCCTCAGCCCAGGGCTTTGTCCCGACTCTGCCCCCAGCAGCCAGACACCCAACAGATACTCTCCCCCCATGCAGGATCTCGAGGGTCCTTCAGCCACAGCTCTGGGAGGCCTGACCAGCCCCTGGTACGCCCAGCCTCAGAGCATGATTTCCAGAAGGGCCAGAATCTGCCCTGACCCTTGGGAAGTCAGGCCCAGAAGGAAGCTGCTGTCCTGGGTCAGAACTCGAACTCAAGTCTGTCTAAGCCATAGCATGCTCTCAGCAAAACCCAGATATTGCATCCAAGCAAGGGGTGGCTAGGTTTAGAGGGCTGGACTGGGGAGAAGGACGGAAAGGGCAAGGCAACATGCTATCATCCCATCAGGTGCACCAAGACCCGGGGCAGGGGGTGGTGGGTGGGCTGTAGGTTGGAGAGGAAGCTGGGGAGGCTGAGGAAGTGAAAACCAGAACAAGGTGATCCATTAGGAGCCAGAAGGCAAAGATGAGCTGATAGGCTTGGAGTATCTGGACTTCTTAAGAAGGGCCAGGTGGGGGAGGGGGCAAGCAGAAAATCCACTGTAGCCCTCTCAATGGGATGCGGACAAGTTATTGGAGTGAGACTGTGGGACAAGGGTCTAGGAGTGGAGGGCACGAGCACTGGGGCGGGGGGCGGGGGGGGAGTCCCCAGGCAGAGGGTGGAGAGGGGAGAGGGTATGGGCTGAAACAGAAAATGGAATAGGAAAAGAGGTGGTGGCCCCAGGCACCCTGTACCCCCAAACAGACGGCAGCAGCCCTGGCCCCCACTTCACCCAACTGCAATTACAGGCATGCCTCGCTATCCAAACTCGAGAACTATATAGATCTGGATCTGTTTTCCGATAAACCCTTTGCTACCTGAAATTCCAGAACCAAAGAGATCACAGAGTGGGGTCTCTCACTACCCAAACTTGCTCTTCCAATTCGGGAGTCTAAGGGATCGGGGGGCTAGTATCTAAGGATCGACTGCACACCATAGAGGGTGGCCCTGGCACCCCTTCTGCTCACCGCTGGATCCCCTCTGCTCCCCCCCCCCCGCCCATGTGGCCTGGTACAGGCAGGTGCTGAGCAAGGTGGGTGTCCACTTGCCAGTTCCTAAGTGTCCCCTCTGCACCAGGCCCCACAGGACTGGGGAAGCCACCAGGCCAGGGGTCGGTGTGACATCATTCCTCAAGGGATTAAGGACTGAAGGAGGGTGCCAGGCAGTGCCAGGAAACTGGGTGCGCTCAGGCCAAGTTTGGCCGAGGAAGGGCTAGAAAGGGAAGACTGGGGGGCGGGGGCGGGGGGTAGAAGGAAGCAGGGCTGCAGGATGGCTTCTTGGCAAGGGCAGCGCTGGGCACATTCTTGAGAGCTGTCCTAAGACAGCTTGGAAGGAACTGCCTTGTGCTTGGTACAAAGGAAGTGCCACAGGAAGACAGAGGATGAGGACTCGAGGGCCTAGGATTGGGGGCTGGAAAGCCCTCAGAGAGGCAGGCTGGGGAAGGGGGTGCAGTCCCCTCCTGGGATTTATAAAGGGCTCACAGGGGGGAAGCCCTGAACAGGGTCCCCAGCCAGACAGGCCGACGCTGCCGGAGAACCCGGACGGACACCACAGCCATGCCCGCCTTGGATGCTCCTCTGGCCTGCTGAACTCTGGGGTCAGGGCCCGGGCAGTCCCCTTCCTGTAAGCATCACTCAGCACCCCGTTTTTTCTTCTTGCCACCCTACAGTGGCTGTCTCCCTGGAGCTGCGCAGGGATTCTGGCCGTTCATATCCCCACTGCAGCATCCCTGCCTGGGTGTCTGTGACTGGTCCCACCAGGCCCCAGGGGCCCCTCTCTCCTCCACACCTGCCCATACCAGCTCTTCCGCCTCATTTCATGGCTTCTGGAGACACCACGTGCCATGGATCTAGGGCCACTGAGACCAAGGCTCACCACCCCAAAAGGCACTCTGAGTCACAGAGTATGAGAGGCTCACCAGAGGTGACACATCCAGACTGAGGCAGTCAGGGTTCGACCCACAGACTGAAGACCCCCTCCCGCTCCTGGCTCTGACCACGGTCCACAGGGCCCCACAGGACATCCCTCCCACCGAGGACGGACAGGAAGCAGGCTGTGGCTCCATGCCCAGAGGCAGGGCCGACCCCTAGGGGGTCCCGGGCCCAGGAACGGCCGGGAGGTACAAAGACGCCGGCACGGAGCAGTCTGAGGCCATGTGCCGCCTCGCCCACCTTCCGCACCTTCTCATCCATCCTTCCTCCTGCACTGACTCAGCCTTGGGTGCTGCTCTAGGAGATGGCACGGGCCGGGGACAGAGGAAGCCTGCCCTCCAGCCCCCGGCTCCCAGCCTCTGGGTGCGCAGCGCAGGCTGGGGGGAAGGAGTTCCCGCTCTGCCAGCCCCCAGCCCAGCCCCACAGGCCACCTGGCCCGCTCAGAACCTCAGGTGGGGAAGGGAAGGGACGCTCCGATCCATCTGAGATTTAACTGCAAACCCCAGGAGGGTGGGCCTGGCACAAGCAGGTGCTGTAAGATGGGCAATGTGACGGCGGGATAGCTCGGAACTGCTGGGCTCAGGACCTCCCTAAATGTTCCTGTGATGTTACTATTAATCACAGTAGTGCTCAGCTTATCACAGCCATGATAAGTGACTGAAATTTTTATTAGCAGATATAATTTTTACAGCTTGAAAAAAATCAAGGAAAGACTTTTTTTTTTTTTAAACAACCAGGACAAGAATCACAAAATAATAATGACAATGATAGGTATGTCTTCAGCTGACAGGCCAGACAAATGGAGAGCCCACTAGGAGGAAGGAGGGGCTCAGGCAAAGGTAAGGGGGTGGGAAAGCCGGCCAGGTGTGTGCAAGAAGGACCCCGCCCCCCGCTTCCCACCTGACCTTGGAGAGGCTCCCCTGGTGTAATC